AATATGAAATGCTTCATTACGAGTCACTGTATCATCAAATTGTGTCTTCCAAATTCCACCGAAGTAAATTGCATTCAGTAGTAATATTACGATGTCCTTATTGACATCGTCTGCTGTTATTAGCTCCGTTATTTTACTCCTAGTCTTTTCGGACACCCAGTTATTAATTTCCTGAAGCAGAATTGCATTGTTGTTATCTGCAATAATAGAATAGATAGATAGTTACTTATGGAATTTTGCTCTTAATCTTATCATCAATACCCGAGAGAACAGAAATGATAACGGTAGAGGAAGAACAGATATATTCATTCGGCGTGGACAAGTTTTGCAAGCAAGCAACGTATTTTAAAATAAATATTTATTCTAAAACAACTGGAGGCTTCAAATTACGACATTCGAGGAAATATTCACATTTTTCGTTTTGTCCTTTGAAATGTAAAATTGTCATTATAAGACTCTGTTATCAAACTGTGTCTTCCATATACCGCTGAAGTAAATTGCATTCAGTAGCAATATTTTGGTGTCAATATTGACATCGCTCACTGTCATCAATTCCACTATTCTACTGTTGGTCTTTTCTGACATCCAACTATTGCTCTGATGAAGGAAAATTGCATTTTTGTCATTTGTGGTTATAAGTATTTACTGTGATTTGAATTTATAAATCTAAGGAACAACAACTAACACACCACTCTCCCTTCTTCATTGTGCATTTCCCTCTTCATCTAATTTTCGCTTTTCATCACTAAGATTGTAATTTGAAAATTGTTGAAGAGGTATTATTCAAAGAAGACATGTGTTTTCCAGCCTTTCTAGTTCATATCATTATTTTTTTATCGGAAGGGCAATTCTTACCAAAAAAAAAAAAAAAGTAAGCACACCTATCTGTGTTGTCGATTGTTTGATCTTCAGTTATCCCACTGTATCATGCAAAGAGAGAGTAAGAAGATGAGGGATATTGTTTTTGTTCGTTGTAGAAGCAGTTAAATTTTTAAGGAATAAATTACAGAGTACCGGTATTGTTGTGTGTTCGAAACGTACAACAATACCGGTACTCTGAAAGTCATTCTTTTATTATCGTCCGGATACCAAATACAATAGATATGACTTCAAACTAATTCCAATTACAATGAATGACGCCCAGATTTATACTAGTAGAAAAATAGGAGAAATTTGAAAGGAGTAATTAGTGAACTGGGAGAAAATAAACGAAGAGTGTGCTGTGTGAAGTTCAATGCCGACAATGAACGAATTTCTTAAGGTCTATATAAGGAATGTGTGAAGAGAAGCAATCATTACAAATTGACATTATTCTCACAGCTACAAGAGAAATCTATGTATCCTAGTTAATTTATTTGAGAACAAGCAGCTTCGATCATCAAATCCTTTGTTTAGATTTCGGCCAGACAAAAGGAATTT